CTTTTGATAGGAATTATATCTGACTCTCAAATTTTTACTGTTAATAAGACACTGAAAGATGTATCTTCCCTGAAAATTTCAGCTATCTACACCGTTCCATTTGCTCAGGGCAGCCCCGTGAAAAACGGAATTTTGATAAATCCGGGGACTTTCAGGATAGGCTTTCTCCCAAGAAATGGATTGTCTGTGGCGTTGATTATTAGAACTTTGAAGTACTCTCTTTGGGCTACAATTCTGTAAAAAAATTAGCGTGGGATCTCTGAGATTGACCCCAGGGCACTCATTGCAAAACATGAAAAAATGAGCCTTTTTCTATGGGAAATCTACCTAAGTGCACTTCGAAATTTCTCCAAGGATTCTAGTATGTAACATAAATTTATCTGGTAAAAATCAGCATTTAATGCTCTATTGGCCTTTATCGAAATATCCTTTGAAAATGAAAAATTCTATGAAAAATCCCCCTGGGGAGTGCAGGGGCTGTGAGAATAAAATGTTACAGCAAGAAGCCTGGAGGGGGGTCGGGGGACTTTTAGTAAAATTTTTTTTTCTACGACCAATGATATTTTGATACAGGGTAATAGAGAATTTAATGCTGATTTTTACTACATTAAATTTATATCACATACACAATTTCTTGGAGGAAATTTGAATTGCACTTGAGTGGATTCCCCAGAAAAAGGCTCATTTTTTCGTATTTTGTAATGAGTACCCTGGGGCCATTCTTGGAGATCTCACGCTAATTTTTTTACAGAATTGTAGCCCAAAGAAAGTACGTCAAAGCTCTAATAATCAACGCCACAGACAATCCATTTCTTGGGAGAAAGCCTATCCTGAAAGTCCCCGGATTTATCAAAATTCCGTTTTTCACGGAGCTGCAATGAGCAAATAGAACGGTATAGATAGCTGAAATTGTCAGGAGAGATACATCTTTCAGTGTCTTATTAACAGTAAAACTTTGAGAGTCAGATATCGTTCCTATCCAAAGTTCTGAAGCGCGAAAGTTACGGAAAATGGACCTTTTTTCATATATTGAGTGCTTTATAAAATCCCAGTCGCTCAATATTTTAAAGCGAAAATTTTATGATAAATAGAATTCACTAAGATGTATGGCAGTAAAAAATTTCAGCACATTCGGTTAAGCTATTCGTGAAATATCGTTGCATTAGGACCCCGATTTATATATATGGTCATTTTTAGGCCTTTTCGTAAAATGCTCATAAAAAACCGAGGAATTAATATTTTTTGAATCGGTTTGCGTCAAAAATCATAAAACTCTTCCCTCTATAACATATCTTAAATTGAGAAAAATCTGACAACATCGATTGAGCAGGGTCTCTATGAAGCCGGTCGTGGCTTATATGGACTGGCTCATATGTAGAAAAAAGAACCATGAAACGCAAATAGGAGTACTTTTATTTTCAGCATGAGAAAGCATGAGTGATTCATAATTGAAGCATCGAGCAGCACTCAAATTTTTTCCATCTGCATGCCTGGTACTGATTGAAATTCTAGTTTAAGTTTTGTATTCGCTATTCAGTAGTTTATTTTGTACTGAAGAGTAGCTTAAGAAAACAAATCAATTATGATTGTCGCATTTATGACGATGGGCAGTGGAAGTCGTTTTTGTATTTTCGATCGAGATTATAAGATTTGTTTTCTTATTGTCAAAATTGCATCGATAGACAAACTGAAACGCATAGAAAAATACTTTGGGAGAACGGGGTTCATAGACTGAAGAGAAAAAAAAGGGCAACGATGAATGAAATTAGATCAACCATGGTCAAGTTTCAAATGATTTGAATTGATTATCACATTGCTAATTTGAACATGAGCAAATCTTTGCACTTATGGCTGGACTTCGTAGACATTGGATTAGCTGTTTTTTTCTCATCGATATTTTTCGCAGTTATTAAACCAAACCTCAAGGGAAACGTTATCTTGTCGAAAGGTGAAATATCCTACCAATCTCAATTTCAATATATCGAGATTGGTAAGTATGTTGTTGATGGAAAAATTTTTGTCGACAGGCAGTTGGTTGAAAAATTGTCGTCGACACAAGATATCAAAAAAAGGGTGTGGACGTCGGTGTGCGTGTGCGTGGGGTGTGGGTGTCAGTGTGAATATGGGTATGAACTTGGGTGAGGATGTGAGGGTAGGGCTGGGGTATCGGTGTGGATGTGGGTGTGAGGTGTCGATGAGGATGTGAGGCTAGGGTGTTGATGTGGTTATGGGTGGGAATGCATTTCTACCCACACTCACACTCACATACACCATACCCGCACACCTACAGCGACACCCACACTCACACCCACCCACATCCTTTTCTCTGACATGCTGTGCCGACGAAGTGTCGTGTCAACGAGATGCTTTTCTGCAAAAAGAATTTGATAAAAATTTTTCGACAAAGATACTTAGACGAAAAGTCTGTCGACTAAATGTCGTTCGACAAAAAACATAGCATTCATCGAGATTGATATCAGAGTTCGTAAATTCGACATATCTTTATTGAAATTCGCTGCTGGATAAATGTGTCAATCGGTCAGGTAACAGGGACACCTGTTCTAATGCTGAAACTGAAATAGTCATATGCTGGACTTTGAGAGGAATGATGGAATCAATTGTCACGATAAATTCATCCGTCCAACGACACCCTTGACCTCCCTATGTTTGTGTATCATATTGAAAAAGTTTATGAATGAGGACTAAAACCGAACTAATGTACTTCAATGCAAATAGAATCAAATAAATAACTATACGTCATAGATACTTTGAGCAACGTTTTCGTGAAACATTATCTACAAGGAATGTTGAAGTTTATAGGGGTAGAAATTACATCGCTCTTTTTCCCTCGCCCTCCCCCCCCCCCCTCCTCACCCACTGACCATGACAGACGCCTTAACAACGTCTGCCCCATAACAGATCGTGACAGATACCCCACCACCAACCGTCATAGAGCGTGATAGACACCATAACAACAGACCGTCAGAAACTGTGGCAGACATAAGCAAGAAAAGTTTCACAACATTATAAAATCCTGCTATCGGAAACGCGTCTAAGATGCGTTTCATGGTTACATGACCCTATGATTGATGATTGCAAAGATAACTATCAAGGTCATTGGCTCAAACATACGTAGATAAGATATCGACGACATGCTGTACGTTTTCATAGTAGTGTCTATCATTTGATCAATGAGATAGCGAGAGATTAGGTTGAAATTTGTACCTTTATAAACTTCAACATATCTTTTACATCGTCTTTCACAATTATATCTACGTCATTGAAATGAAAAAATTAACTATAACTATATATTTTTACTATGATATTATTAAATATCTTACTCTTATTTACTACTTAGTTGATCTAAAATAACTTTGAAGAATTTGTTCATTCAAATTAAAACTTCAATAAGAATAGTCGTCGACATTATCAATCTATCGTCACAGTTGGATAAATCACTGAATCAATATTGAATAAAGGGCCTATCTATGTACTATATACGGAATTAAAAATCAAAATTTAAAATTTATAACATATAAAGAACGACATGAATACAGAGGGCTACTTCCAAATTGCAGTCAAAAATCACATCTATTTGCGCCCTCACCCACACTGTCGGTCTGCTAATTGGTTTGATCTTTGTCCACAATTTGGAAGCTACGATACAAAGTATTTATGATGTTAAATTCTTTTGATCGACTGAAACTAGGATATTATTATCAATTTATGATGCGACATCTTATACGTCCATTATTTTCAGGAAATATTTCGTATGTTCAACTCAAAACAAAAAGGCAATTCCGAAGAATGTAGATCTTAAATAATTTTCGTTGTTTTCTTTTGACTGTTCTATGCGAATCAGACACCGATGTAACAAAAGATATAGATTGGCTGTTTTGTTGCTATCGTAATATTTATTTTATTCTAATCATCATAATAAACTAGACATACAATGTTACCGCTAACCTCTGTATATGATGATGATGTTCATTCCACTACTTCATTATTCAGTTATATTGTTCGTTTCTTTTGCATATCTCTATATAATATACATGATATCTATCTAACTCGATCACATTCGAGATAAATAGATACAAATAGACACATTCAACAATTAATATTTCATACAAAGAAGAAAGAAACGAGATAAAATATATGAGAGAATAATTGTTGTTGATTAACCAATCAACACAGTCATCATTCGTAATCTATTCGTCAATGACTAACATTTCTCAATATTATTTTCGTCATTCATCACATTACGTACTATATAATTTCGTCCATTTTATCTATAAAAAATTTTAATTTCGTCGGCCGCTATACCTTTAACATGATATATATAAATAAGAGAGGAGTAAACAATTATTATATTTCTATTTCTAAATACAATGTCAACGATAATGAAACTTGAATCATTACCAAATGAAATATTCATTGAATGTTTTCAATATTTGGATACACTAGATATATTATATTCATTTGATCGATTAAATTATCGATTTCATTCACTTATTCAGAATATTTCATTGCATCTTAATCTTCACCATTTTAAAAAATCTTCATTCGATCAATTTTATGAAATAATATTGACAAATTCAGAAATAAAACAATATATAATTTCTTTACAATTATCTAATGTATATGCACATGAACAAATAAAATCATTTATTCCAATATTATTATTAAATGAATTTATTTATTTTCGATCATTATCATTAATTGAATTAAAAGATGATAATACTAAACAAGTCTTACCAATATTATCATTCTTATCTGATATAGAATGTTTTTTTTGTACTAGTTTACAGTATAGAAATTCAAAAATACGAAGATTAAAAGATTGTAATTTTAATATTAATTCAATATTTATTTATAACGCTATGTCAATAACATCATTAACTATTTGTAATTGTGATTTATTTGATTTATGTGAATTGTTTAAATATATACCCATGTTAAAAAAGTTACATATTGGATATTTTCATAATAGTAAGATAAATGACGATGATTTAAATTTGAATAATATATATATTCTTAAT